TCACTAGACTATGTATTAGAATTTACATATATAGACGCCTGAAACCAAGGATCCTGTGTGGGTTTTCTTTCGGCATGGGACCATATATGCTACAATCTGCAGAAAGACAGTACAATTCACCTTAAAGTACACCACCCTCAGAATATGGATTGGAAGGGGGGTGTAGCGAATATGTTTGGTTATCTTCACTCACCCTCAGATCAAGGGGAAGTCTGGGAGCTGGCGGGGTCCCGATGCGCGGCCGCAGCTTGCGGGGGCCGGCAGGCTTCCGGCCCAGCTTCTTCGAACCTGAGACGTTTGTTCGACGAAGCGAACGGACGCACTGGAACGGACCCCCGGGAACGGACGTTGTTCACAACTCCTGGAGAACTGGTCCACTCAGTTGCACAGTATCCGGTGTTTGGGTCCACAGGGACTGCCTTTGGCGCCCAGCGTGGCGTTTATTGCGCCTCCCAACGTGCTCTTCCCTATTGCCGAGCCGGGCATGTGTGTTCGCCGCGTGTCTGAAGGATCCAGAGCTCCCAAACACGACCTGTTTGGGACTGCCATAGTTGCCTAAATCAGGCAAGTGGGTGGTTGACCTTGGGTTTTGACCTAGGGGGCATGGTGGTCGCAGGTCGGCTCGTGTTTGGGGTATCAACCCTGCATGAGTCAGTGATGCGGAAAACTGATCGAAGATCGATCGAAGCCATCTTCGACTCTTAAGGATGTTGCGGTTCGAACTCGCGGTGCGAATGGTCTCCTTAGGAAGCTCAGCTGAACCAAAGGCAGCAAGCACTTCAACAGCAACAACTGCAAGCTGCTCAGCTGCTCTTCGTCACTGGGCTGCATTTTCGTGTCACATGGGCCCAGTGGTTGGTGAAGGATAGACTCAGATAGACGAGCACTTCAGTTAATTAAGTTTAAAGTTTCATGGACGTCAATGGGGGAGATACGAGTAAATCGCGCCGTCTCTTCAAGAAGTGATTGGTTTTCAGCGGGGTCAGAAATCTGCTTCATGCTTGGGAAAGCCTTTGAGAGTTGGTAATGTCAACAAGAAACCCCCTAATTGGTTTGTCCGATATTACATCATGTGTCTTTGGTCCGTCCCGGCTGAATACTAAGCTAAGCACCATCTCGAGTTTGGAACAGTTCATTTTTGGGTGCACCCCGAAGCCCAAACATTAGTTTCATGTGCATCCATGTTTGTTCCTCAATTCATCTTCATTCACATCGCCTTACCTTTTCCTTTAAACGATGAAACAGTCTACAAGATATGTTTTGTGAGGAGACCGCAGAGTTTGTTCAGTCCTTTCAAATGCTTGTATGTCCGAAGGCTCTTGTATTTGGGTGCGCAATGACCGCAGCGGCTCATGCCAGACGTCTCTGACCTGGCGGCGCCATTCGGCACCTGCGTTCGATGGAACGGCCGAAGCGTTTGGACGGCGGACAGTGAGGTGAATCCGATCATGGCGAACCTGCAGATGCAGCAGATCCAGAAGGCCAGATCGCAGTGGGTTGGACAGGTTCCGGAGTGCTGGTTGGTGGGCAGTCACCAAGCATACCAGGGTGGTGTAGAGGGACCTGATATCAACAAAGACCCATCACCTAGTCCATTTTGGGTCTTGGTCGGGTGCATTCATTAACGCCGAAACATTGTGATTCACCTGGGGTGCCATGAGGAAAACCTTGCAGGTGAAGTCCAGGAAACATTCAAAGCGGCCATGCCGTGAGCAACTTCTAGAAAACAAGTGTGGGGCCCCCAGCCATTTGTTGGGGTGAAGAACGATGATTTGGAAACTCTGGTGATGTGAAAATGCTTGGAAACATGCGTCTTGGCGTCTCGCCAAAGATCTCTAATTGTTTTCATCTCGAGTGGTTCCAGGCCATCGCTAATAGGTTGGAGGCCATCGCTATTAGTAGGTTGGAGGCCCTTGCTATTAGGTTGGAGGCCATGTCTAACCCCGTCTGAGACGCTTTTGAGCGGGATGTTTGAGCTCCAGGAGACCTTGGAGCTCCAAGGACGCTGGTCTGAGCTCCTTGGGCGTTGAAGAGATCGAAGGAGCTCATTAAGTGTGATTTGGAGGAGACGCTGAAGGAATATCGCCGGTGGAAAGACCTCCCAAGCAATTCAGACCTGGCAAGCTGTGTGCAGTGAAGCGCCACCATGGTTCCTTACAAGGACATGATGGTTCCCCTCTCCAGAAGAGAAAAACATGATTACCCAGCCAGAGGCTCATGGACCCTCAAACTACCATAACTTTGAGGTCCAAAGCCCTACTAGTTGTGAGGGTCAAAACCCTAGCTGAGAGGGCCCAAGGATTCTTAGGGTAGGAAAAACCTTTCAGAAAAAAATATTATCCGGAGGTCTTGGGCTATTCTTTCGCGGAGAAAAAGCTTATCCTTATCCATCCAAAAAGCTAGCCTGCTAAGATCATTAAAAGAAAGTTGAGGTGGTTTTGTAATCTAAACTTAGCAAAACAATGGTTGTTCTGTAAAGACACATAATATATAAGTCAATGGTGATTGGAAGCCTAGGTATAGACAGGGCTGGCTAAATACTGGCATCTGGGAGGATCAAAAGAGCTCTAAATCATTTTGAGCTATATTCAAGCTACCATTACCTTTTTTTGAGGGAGGACGTTTCCAGAACTTCAGCAACCAGTATTTATTTGCAAGGTTTAACACTAGTCAGGTGACTTGGAAACCATTTACACTTTTTCTCTATGCTTCTTCGTGTGCTAAGGCTTAGCACTCAACGAGCGCAGCTTCAAGAACAAAAGGCGGCCGGGGAAAGGTGTCCGTGCCGGGCCCCTGGGTGGCAAGCAAGACGACAAATCCTGCACTTGGTCCGCTGTTGAGGTGGAAACCATGCAGTTGATGTAGCTCGAGCTTTTTGGTTTTCTATCGCTGGGTAGAACTCGACATAGTTTATCATCGCTTCCGGCTAGATTGGAATTTGTCATTGATTGGGCAGTCAGATGCTAGAGCAAGAGGTCCTTGGTACTTCTGTGGTCTCAATACAGGCTCACCCTAATCCTGGCCTTCGTCCTTCAGGCCAGGATAGGCAGCGGAGATGTAGACCATCTGGTAGACCATCTGAGACTCTGGACGAACCGCGCACCCCGGTCGGACCGGACCTCCGGTGCTGGACCGCCTCGCCAGGCCAGAGCTCATCCAGATCCCGCGAGGCCCGGTTTCACTCGACTTCCAAGTGGTTCGGGAGCAGGATCCAGTCATGTGATGGGTGAAGCTGCACAGACCGTCTGCGCGCAGTTTAAGAAAAGAAGAACGCTACATGTTGCGGAGTTGGAAATTGAAAAAGTCCCAGGAATGAAGCATTGACTCTTGGACGATTGACCCGAATGGCTGCTCAGTGAAGACAGTTCTACCAGTGATCCCCTCATCTTCGAAGCGGGTTTGGGGACCGAACTCAGTGAACCAACCGTTAACTTGCCAATGGATCGAGAGACAGACAGCATCAGACAGCCTCCGCGGAGAGACAGACAGACAGATCATCCGATGAAAGGCCCCAGCTCAGACTGCCAAAAGCAGGAGATCTCTCCGGTTTGGAAGACTGACTGTACTATTGGCTGACAGGATCAAGGTAAGATGTGGAAGGTTGAAACTGCTTGAACTGCAAACGCGATACTTGCACAATCCCATACCCTCCATGATGTATGCCTGCATTGACTATCTGAAACCACCCCATGTATAGGAAACATGTCATACATTGAGTCCAATAGAACATGCACTAAAACCACTGCCTGGACCTTCAGTTTCAACCCTCCATTTACATTGAGGGCCTATTCTTTATAGAACCTGTTTCAGGTAGGAAAACGGTGTCACACATGTGTTCCCGTTCAGAACCTTTTCAACACCTCGGGTCTGGAAAGATCCTTCTAAAAAACACACAAACAACAAGCTTTTCAGATCTCCAGTCTACCATTTCATGGAAAAATAACATGGAAAAATACCACACACGAAAACTCATACCATTCGTCTTCCACCATGATCCCAAAACCAATTGCTTAGCGCATTTGGTTCTCCTGAAAACCGGAGAACGAAGACGGTACATCTCGACACTCCGTTCAGACAGTACTTCTCGACAGGTCGGAAAGAGGTGAGAACCACTTCTTCGCCCCTTGGAACAGACCGAGAGCGTCCGTCGTCGTTGAGCGGAGCGAAGCTGCGGTCGGTCGGTGTGGGGTGGGTGGGAACGATGGAACGAGGGAACTCGGAACAGATCACCTCCCAGAGACGGCGAAGTGGGTGAGACGGCGAAGTCTCCAAAAGCCGGCGAAGTGGTGACAGAAAGCACCAGATCTCTCCGATTCGGGACCGGCGGAGCAGTTGGGCTGTTGGAGAAATGGTTGAAAGCAGGTGGGAAACCGTTGGACTTCCTCCGGTGAATGCGGTAGAAATCTCCATCTCCTCGGAATCAGACGCAGAAATTGTGAGCGTCTCAAGTGTTCAACGGCATCGTGAGCTGGAAGTGAAAGGAGGGCCTTTGGAGATGGGTCTGGGTCAGGAAATGACCATGTAGGATACCTTCGGATCTTGATGAATTGATCCCTCCTTCAGAGCTGGGGGTGATTCCTCGAGAATCAATATCAGTTGATGGTTAGAGGTCATGAACCAAAGGGACGTCGACTATATGGAGCAGTTGGGGGGTGGTGCAATGTGCTCCAACTCGGGCTCCGAGATGCTTCCATACGTTTACCGCGCGCGGTGGGTTTCGGTCGGGCGAGCCTGCGGCGAGCCCGCCGAGCCGCTGGGTGGGTGGTGGTTTCCGATCATTTTTGGATGTACCTTGGGACGATTGATCCCATAGTAATAAGGGCACCATACTACTAATAGCAAGAATGCTACGAACGTAGCTCCTGGCATTACTACTAGGAACAAGAAGCTACTAGTAACTAAGGGCATTTTCCAGTTGTTTCAAGTGCTTTGAAAGCACCTGGCCCACCTGGCCCAGCGGTTTCGTTGTTTGTTTCATGCTGGCGACTTTCCGTTGTCCTTTGGCTCAGATTTGGCTCAGAATCAAGGCCTGCAGCTTGCTGAACTCGACACCAAGCCATGTGGTACTGCGGCACTGAGTTCTTGGATGATTCTGAGGCAAATAAGATAGACTGTGTTCCTTTCGACCGGTGGGGTAGTCTTCGCTGAGTTTGTTGAGATGAAAGGCTACAAACATAGACCTCGACGTACCCTTCAACGATAACAGACCATCTGAGCTGAGTTGTCACCTGTATTTCCTGGAAATCAGAAACAGGTCTGGTTGTTCCAATCTGGAGATCCACATAACAAGTACAGTAATTGTTTGGGAAACGCCTATAAATGTTTGTTTCTGTTTGTTTAGGTTTCCAGGTTCATGTGTTTTCTCAGGTTTTATCATAGGGGTTTTGGTGGGGTGTGAGTTGTGGCAGGATCAGCACGCTTCGCTGTTGCAGAAAGACACTGGCTTTGATCGGCTTGTCAGCACCACTACTGCAGAACCTGGAGCAGAACTGCCAGAGCTTAAGGAAGAAGAAACAAAAAATCACCAAATATGCCGGCAGCAAAGACTGGAGGAAAGAAACTAGGATATCCATAGGATGTGAATGGATATCATATATTATCATATATACGCAAGAAGTGCAGTGGCAGCTTGTTTGAACGCATTGACACGTGCTGCACGTGGATTGAACCTTCCTCACTTCGATTGACTCGCCTGTTCGCTGCAGGACTCATGGGAGCTCAACACGTTGCAGCGAATGGCGACGATGCGCCCTTCAAACCGAGGGCTGAAAGGTGTGGCAGGTCTTGAGGAGACGAAGACGGGCATCGCGTCGTGTGAAACGTGTGAAGTTTAGGCCGGAGATGAGACCTATCGCTCCAGTCTCCTGGTGGAGTTTGTATCGAAAGATGACCAACTCCACCAACATGTGGTCAAACCCTGACCTGGTCAGGGAATGCACCTATCACATGCTATCACAAGAATGCGATGTTTTCTCAGGACATGTTGGGTATCCACTTTTGCTTCGCCAAGCCAAGCGTCCCTCATCAGGACATTGAGGTCACATCTCTTGCTGATCCAGTCCCGGACCTGAACAGAAGCCGCCCACGAGTGCGCTCCTCAGGGTGTGTGAAGACTGCCTCCCAGGACCAAGCCTCTCTTTCCCTCCCAACAGCCTAGGCCTCCTGGCTCACCGTTTTAGAGAAGGTGGATGGGGTGTGATGCAGTGTGCGGTGTGAGAGGGGGGTTGTCTCTACCTTGTGAGGAGGTGAGCCAGGAACCCTAGGGCCTAGGTCGAATCGTTTCGTGGCCACGAAAGAAGCACCTTTACTCCGCCCGTTTCTTGCGTGAGCATTTCTCGTTTCTCGCGTGGACAGCCCTCCAGGTGCCACGCCGGACCTGGGCCATTACGCCTGACAGCCCTGAAGCCCTGAAACCGCCATGCAAGGAAGATCTGGATCGACGAAAGTCGGTGGAGTTCCATCCGATGGTGGTCACACACCTCCTTCGACGCTGAAGGATGCGATTGTTTTTTGTGAAATCCCTGCGGGAGGTCAAAGAGGTCATCAGAAAGGTCATGGTTTTGGGGGGAGACCTTTTTGGAAGCCGGCAACCATGTGCCTGGTTTTGCTAATGATTACTGTATAACAATAATAGGTCAGCACAGGCAGAGGAGACCTGTTGGAGGGTGATGGTATATATATAATGTATACTGTATCATATGGAGGACTTCGGTGATTTGGAGGTTTCCCGGTTTGTGGGTCATCACCCCTGCACTGGGGAAGACGGGCTGATGTTTGTGCTTCCGCTTCGCAGCAAATCCATTCCAGAGCCTGATTCGCGTCGGTTGGAGACTCCTTGAGGATCTTGTGCCCATCCCATCCGAACATGAGCCAATGACTCATGACACATGTCGGTTCAATTATGCCAGGGCCTTCAAAAGGTGGTTAATGGACACCCCTTACCTGGTGGGTTCATAGCGTTCTGGGATTGAGATATCCCCAACTCTTCGAGGACACTCGGTTGGAGCAAGTTGGAGCGAGTTGAACTTGAGGATATAGAATGTAGGCAGCGAAACATTGCGAAACAGGTGTGCTTAATGTATTGATTTTGTTCGGCTCTACACAAGTCAAGCTGTCAACTTTGAAAGCTCCAATTTTTATATTTGGGGCTGAGTGCTGGAGCATGTCGTGTGAAGTCAATTCAGTCGCATTTTGCCTTCGCACCAGCCCATGTTTGCACCTAATTAATCGGTTGGAGCAAGTCTAGCTTGACTTGATGTAGGCAGCTTCATTGCCAAACAGATTGGTTGATTTTTTGTTTAGATATTCGTTTCGGCTCTACACAAGTCGAGCTGTCAACTTTCTAAAAGCTCCACTTCTTTTAACAAATGTTTGGGCTGGCTGCAGGATGCAACTTGGCAGTCCTGCCGATCGCTGTGTTCGACCTTGGGCAGCATTTCAAGATCAATTGTTTAACCAGCTGTAGCCAATAAATATTCTTCCAGTTGCACGTCCTAATTTGGATGACTTAGAATGAGCGCCACACACCAGCAGCAAGCTTTGAAGGAAAAGTCTGCAAGCCCAGTGGGGAGTAGTCTACCCCAGCGATCTCGCAAGGGATGAGTCCGGGATGAGTTCTCATATTTTAATGTTTGGTTGCACATGATGTTTCCTATTATGCCTGGTCCAACTCATCCTGGATTAGCCAATGGCCTTGATAACATACGTATGGGGCCAATAGGAGATGTCGAAAGTGGAGACACAGCCAGTAGGTCTTAGAAGAGAGCTTGAACCACCCCTAAACCCTAAACCATGTACCAGCACCGACGAAAAACAGGTCACCCATTGAAACCTATCTTCGGGCGCAACTCCCAACCCTCCAAGGCTCGGAGACCTGTAGAGTCAGGTACTGGAAGGTGTTGGAAGGTGCAGTCAGTTGAAAAATTGTCCGGGGATGACAGCAGAATCGCATTGCTCGACAGGGTTTGCGACATCGACATCGACGTTGATGGCCCACGGTCCCCACCCAAATCTGCCCTACAAGTCGAGGTTTATGGGGGAAAAATCGATGAATCCTATGACATCATTAGGGTTTCAGTCCATCAGCTTGTGTTGAGTATTGAACTCCAAAAGACCTGCACCACACGTTGCCAGCCACACGGTTTACGGTGCGAACCCCCTGCCACACTGCGGTGCCAAGAGGGGTTCAGAGACCCAGTGGCCTGAAGCTGACCATAGCTGACCTACTTAGCCGACCGGGGCCACCAAATAATGAAGTTTGGGGACTGTCCGGGTCAAACCTCTTGGAAGCGGGATAGGATTTCTAAGAGATTTCTTTCATGTTCTTTCCACATCAAAAGACCGACGTGTTCATGTTATTCTTGCCCGGACCATGTATGGAACAGTTACATATACATTGGTGATCATGTTCATTTGGTTATGTATGTAACACTTCTCTCCATGGAGTGTTTGAGTTCCTTGGTCCTTTTAAGATCAGTTGAACAAATGAAACAAAAACGAACGACCCGCACACTTCAGGTGGAACACCAGCAGATTGAGGAATTGCTGGAACGACAGCTCGGGATGTGACGCGCACTTTTGTCTCACGTCAGTGAACCCCGATAGGCACAGGGCGCTGAGCTCGAGCTGAGCTCGGTAGGCTCCAACATGGGCTCAAAAGCTCTGTTCAGAGATGGTTTCTCATCGCCTGGAAGGCTTGCCTCTGAACTCGGTGCCAGTGATTTCACAACCGAAGGTTTCGCGAAACCGGATCGCTTTCGGCGCTTGGTTGGCAACGGTTTCCGTGTGTTGGTTCCACCGCGGCGCCGGAACGCATGGAAACTTCGGCGCCGAGACGTCGGGACTTCGTTTTTCGGGGTCAACGCATCGAAACACACCACAGAGACCAATAGACCATACCAGGCGGCCCCACAAACAATCCAAAAACCTGGTTTTCCCGAGCAAAAACATGTTTTTTTAATGTTAAAACCGTTGTTTTCTTCCTGGTTTGGAGGGCCCCTGGTATATAATGGATCCATTGGCCTCCCAAGCCAACATGCATGATCCCTATACAGGAAAGAACAAAACAAAACTGCATGGAACCTGGGAGACATAAACCGTCAGACCGACCATTTTACTCTACCACTCCGTGGTTTTCCATGTGGTTTCTGCGAAGCGGAGGAACCTTTCGAACCACGAAACGATGCAAAAGGTCACAGACAGTGAAATGGCACGTCTCGGCCTGACGCGGTCAGGTGGATGGGTGAGAAAAGGGAACGGGTGAACAGGTGAAACCCCAACGAACGCTGGATCTTCGAAGTTCCGCCAACCTGAATGGCTGGAGAAACGGGTCTTTCGGCAGAATTCGAAGTTCGGGAAGATCCGGGTGTCCTCCTTGGATCCGCAAATGGAACCCCCTTGGGATTCCCAAAAGGACCTGAAATCTGCTCCATCGTTGCAACTGTTCATTGAAGGAAACCGAAACTGGTCCGGATCGATCGTGTCCGGGTGTCTGAGTCCGAATCCCTCAGTCGAGGTGACTCGGGGTGTTTCAAATTAGCCACCTCGTCCTGGATGTGGACATGCAAGACATGTTGTTGATTGCGCCAGTCGAACGGTTTCTGGTACAACAACATGATGCTCATGTTCTTCGGTGATGTGGAAGATAGGCAAGACGCGACACCGTGCAACAAAGATTTGCCGCGCGCCGCCGCCCTGGACACAAAAGACTGCGCCATGGAATGCCAGGTGTTTCAGTTGGAAATTGTGAGTGGTTCACTTGGCCTGCCACGAACATTGGCTGTAGGTGAGCAATGTGGCTGTAGGACATCATGTTGTTAAAGCTCTAGGACATCATGGCTGTAGGGACCCGGACTTCTGGCTGTGTTCGGAACCTCTATCCGATGTGCTGGGGTATAGGGACCGAAACACCACGGTCTGGAGACACACTGAGCGCTCAGACCGACACAGTGATTCAGCTGTTTCGCTGAGGCACTGGGCTGAACTGCATGTCCGTTGGTTCAATTTGTGAGTATGATTAATTGTTTGAAGATGTTAGAAGAGTTGAATGACGTTGAATGCTACCTGAGTTCCTTCAATATGTGGGAATGCTTTAGATTAAGCTAAATCATACAACATTAATGGAACATCAATTAAGATAATGTAACATCGCCTCATGATCAGATTTGTTTGGGAAGGCAAGGTTCCCTTCATTAGCCGGAAATCAAGGCCAACCAGTCGGTTCAATGAATATATTGTCACGAAAGCTAGCACCAGCTAGCTGGAGTTGTCCTTGCTTTAGCAAGTGAGGGGCTGGAATCCTCGGGATCGCCGCATCACGTGAAAACTTCATATGTAGGGGGGGGAACCCCCCCCCCCTCCTCCGCAGCGTGGGTTCAACTCCCCCCTCAGACGCCTCTGGGACACCTCTCGGGCATCTCTTATGGCATCCACTTTGGCTTAACTCCTCCGGGATACGGTGCAACAGATTCAACAAGCTCACATGTTCATGACATCGACATCGATAGAAGAAACCAAACAAATCATGCAAGCAGCTTTGTTTTGCCTCTGGGACACCTCTTGGGCACCTCTTATGGCATCACTGGTTCAACTCCTCCGTGGAGGTTTTGGGATACGGTGCAACAGATTCAACAAGCTCACAGGTTCGTGAACACATCGGATGCATCGAACAGTGTGGCAAAGTCCAGCCACGCTTCCTTAATTGTCGGGGACTTCAATTCGAAGGTTGGCTGTGTCATTGCTGTTTGTGTGTCTTACATGTTCACAACGTTTTACCTCATGAGCATTTGCCTCACTCCGCTTGATGTCCCACCAGTCCGGATGCACCCCTGCTAGCTTTCGTCACCTACCCTCGGCCTCAAGTTGACTTTGAAACCTATAGTTAGTTAGTTTCTTTTGCCAGCAGGTTTCGGGGAACGCCTCAGATAAGAAATCCATTCAGAACCCACTTTGCAGCATGCAGATGCAGAATGATGCAGACAAGTACCCGTTTCTGTGGAGTTTTCCCTCTGCCGACTATGGGACTGTTTTTGGTGTCTCAGAATCAGAGTTGTTGATCAAACAGATTAGAAAGGCTCTTGCGGAACCGGTCAAGACCTGCAGAGATGGGACCATATATACTATCACCAGCCGCCCAAGACCGTTAAAAGAAAGGTTGACCCGGCTTCGTAGTGTAAAATCCTTAGTAAAACAATGGTGGTTCGGTAAGGATATAGTCTTTGGTATAGTACTATTATTAGTAGCACTTGTAGAAGCGACTGCTAGAATAGACCTCGATGGAATACCAACAAGAACGACGAAGAAACCGGTCTTCAGGCTAGAATCTTGGGAACTCTACGTATAGATGGTCGCAAACTCTGGCGTTCCAGTGAAAAATCTCACCATCCGATGGGTCATCGCCCGAAACGTTGCGAACATCGGGGCACCATCTTCAGGCTCCAGCGCCTTCTTCCGTCCGCGGAAGAAAAAAGATCTCTCGCCCACTAAAGCCCGTCCCGTTGCTTTTCAGCAGATGGCGCTCCTGCGGTCTGCCGCACGCTTCAAGCACATGTGGGCGGCAGGCGGAGGGCAAGGGGAGATGTGCGGAAATGCGCGGAGATGCGCGGAAGAAGGCAGTATGC